GGTTAAAAGCCCCAATATATATATATATATATATATATATATATGATGTGATTTAAATGAGAACCAAGTCTTAACGTGAGAACCGCGAGAATCGCTATTTTTAATTGTATGAAGTGCTATGATTGATTTGTTTTAGTGCTATTTTTAATCGGGATGAATTTTATGAAAAATAGCAACACAATTTATATTAATATTTGTGAAAATGATAGCATCATTTAATATCAAAAATAGCATTATACCTAATTAAAAATAGCATCAAAATATGGTTCTCACGGTTCTCACACTAAGACTAGTTTTTATTTGAACCACCCCATATATATATATATATATGGTTACGGCTGGCTTTTGCTTGAATACCGTACTTATTTGAAAGTCTTTATTGAGAAAAAATATTAATAAAAATAAGAAGAATGTAACTCACTTATTCAAAAAAAGCAAGTTGTAACTTGTCTCCTTCTTCTGCGAAAAATAAAAACCCTTTCGACACCTTCAATCTCTCCGTGTTGCTTCGCCTTCCTCAGCGACGGCGCGGCCACGGCCAGTGGTCGTCGTGGACTGCTCGGCCTAACCCCTGACGTCGCCTACCTCTGATTTTGCCGAGGTGTTTCTGCTCGAGATGGACTGTTCCTGCCCTAGGTCGCCGGTCTTTTCTCGATTGACGGTGGTAAGCTTCTTGGTCGGTGATTGGTCAGCGATTGGTGGTGTTGATTGTTGTCGGGTCTCGATTGGAGGTGATTTCCCCCGTTATTGGAATTTGCCTGCGATTGAAGGGCTCCCCTCGGGCGGCTTCGCTTTTCGGACGGGGCTTTTTGTCTTGCTGGCTGGAGGACTGCGGTGGAGGTGGATGGTATGGGGGTCAGTGGGCGGGGCAGGGATCCGGTCGCTGCGATGGTTCCTGTTACAGCGGTCGGGGGGAGGGCTGTTTCCTCTTGCTCAATCCTCCGTTTGCCTAGTGGTGTTAGGCGGCGGGGGAGGTTTCTATCGACCTCGTCTAGTGGTGTTATAAGAGTTCAGAGGGAATCGGAGTGGGTTGGACTATGGCTCTCTCGGTTTTCAATGGGTCGATTCGGGGGCTGGTTCGGGTTAGGGTTTTGCTACTATATAGGCTTGATTGCAGTTTCGGTAGTAAATTCTTCGCCTGGATTGGTCTTGTGTCGATCGTTCAATGTTGGTTCGGGCTAGCTTGTTTGCTGGGGAAGGGCTGTTAGTTTTTGTAGGTTTTTTGGTGTTTTTTCTTGTGTTTGTTTATGTGTTCGTATCTGTGTAGCAAGTGTCTTGTCTTTTTGGTTTGGGTCGTTGGCCCCTGTGAGCCCGAGTGTCAAACTTATTACCTCGTTGGGGTCCGACACTCGGGTATTACCCTGTTGGGGTCCTTGTAGTTGTTTTAGTTGTTTGTGTTGTTGGTTAGTTTAGTTGCGAGTGTTTTTATTCTAGCGTTACTAGCAGGGATTCTAGGCGGTCTTCTGACCTGTCCTCCCACTTTTTCAGCTGTTGGCTGCTGTGTATTCAGCCGTTGACTGCTGTGTATTCGCACATTTGTACATTTTGATTTATAATATTTTCTATCGTTTTGGGAAAAATAAAAAATAAATAAAAATAAGAAGAAATTCAGACAAGAGTTTATGGGCCCCTCTTGGGCCTTTATTTCACCAATATTCTCACTTCACGAGGGATTCCAATATCTTAATTATGTTCATTGAATTTCAACGGGGCTTGGTGAAAGATTTCATTAAGATGGCCAACACTTCTTTATATTTTATTTTGTCCAGGTCAAATTTTCATATATTTGATATATTTACGACCAAAGTTCTAAAGGCGCTATTGTTTTATATTACATTTTCATAACAAACTATGCATAACACAGAAACTAATATTTTATATTACATTTCATGAATAAAAATTATTATATACGAAAACCTAGGTGGCACTTGAACCACCTAAACAGTCTACGTGTGACTAACTTTGCGACTTCTTGGACCATCTACCCGCCTAGGTGTCGCTTAATTGCCCAAGCGCCGATAAGGACTGCTTAAATGAATAAAATGGGATTGCACAGTTAGGCGGCGCCTTGCCCGACTTTTAGTATAGTGGTTATGGGTCAAGGAAGGGTAAGGGTATTAAATAATTTTGCACATGATGAAAAATAATATTTAAGCTCACAATTTTCTCGGGTGTAACTGTTAGAAGGGCCGGCCCAATATACACTTTAAATAAGGATGCATATTTATACTATGAAACATAGTTTTTTTCAACCCGGACCAGCCCGGTGGGTCAACCAGGGACCCGATTGATCAGTAGCCAGAATCGGTCTGGGTCGGTTATTCGGACTGGTCAACTCGTCCTTGACCTAGTCGATTAGAGGCATTGACCCGACCGACCATCAAATTTTATTGTTATTAGTGTATTATTCAAATTTTCAATAGTATTATCACTGCATATGATACATTCAATGGGGATGTACCTTGTTATAGTTAAATTGACTACATTTTAGAAATTTTTATTAATATTTTAAATTATTTATTAAGTTATTATGATTTAAACATAGTTATTCTGATTATTTTATTAAATATTTGAAGTACTTCTGAATATTGAATATAATTAATTAAATTAATACCCACAACCATAGGTGATAATATATTTAATCAAATTAATTTTCATAGTAATTTTTTGAATTGTGTCAATATATTATATAAGATCTTATTGAAAATATATCTAATAAATTTACGGTCAAGATTTCAATTTAAGCCAATTTATTTTTAATTATCAATATTCGTTAAGTGTATAAAAATTTATTATGTTTTTCATGCATAAGATTTGCTAATAAATAAATATTAACTAAATGTCAAATATAGACGAAAAATTTTTCCATCCACAATCATGTCAATTATGGCAATAATGATTGGTCCATTATTTAAACTAGTGTTGATACCCGTGTGATGTACGGGGTATAATACCAAAATATTTTTATTTAAATATTATAAAATTATTTAAGACAATATGAAATTATATTCTGCGCAATATTCTATTCAGTAATAATATGAAATTTATTTATTTACTATTAATGTTAATTTCTATTTTTATATTTTTTTTGTAGTTTGACTATTTAATATATAAATTTATTTTTATAAATTTATAAAATATTATAAATGTATAAAATCATATGATATTTGCATATAAATTACTTGTATATACTTATAAAATTGTCTTTTATCACAGTCTTATAATTTTTTCAACAATTCATAATTTGCACATTGCTTGACAATTGACCAACGTTTAACACATAATATTTATCTTCCGCTATAAGTGCATTAAATGTTAAAAAATTTAATACATAAATTTTAATTTTTAGTTACTTTAATTCTTATGCAACACATAAATTTTTTATAGTTAAATATTTTATTTTTATGTTTTCATTTTTTATTTATATTTATTCTTTAATTCATTTTTTCAGCCTATACAATGAGTTACATAGTATCTATTCGAATATTTAGATATATTATATATTTCCATAATTACCAAGCGCTATAATTAAATTATTATACATTGCTATTTTATTCACATATTTTCATTTATAAAATTGTATATAAGAAAAAGTATATATTTTTAAAAATTAAATATTTTTCTAATGTACATAGATATTTCTAAGGGAAATTTATAACTCTGAATTGCACCCGACCAGCAAATTTTATTTTTATTAGTATATTATTTAAATTTTTAATAATATTATCACTGCATACAATATATTCAATGGGGATGTACCTTTTTATAGTTAAATTTGCTACATTTCAAAAACTTTTATTAATATTTTAAATTATTTATTAAGGTAGTATGATTTAAAATAGTTATTCTGATTATTTTATTAAGTAATTAAATTAATATCTACAACCGTAGATGATAATATATTTAATCAAATCAATTTCCATAATAATTCTTTGAATTGTGTCAATAAATTACTATTAAAATTAAAATAAGATCTTATTGAAAATATATCTAATAAATCTACGGTCAAAATTTAAACTTAAGCCAATTGTAGTTAATGAGTAATAGTCATTGAAAGTATAAAAATTAATTATATTTTTCATACATAAAATTTACTAATAAATAAATATTAATTTAATGATAAATATAAACGATTTTTTTNGACATGGCTTAAGGTGAGGCGAAAAAAAAAAAAATTAAAATTAAAATACACCATCTGAAAACGGATACTAGATTCCAGTGGTCGAAATTGTCACGTGCTTAAAATTAATAATGTGGATAGTTGTATATTTAACCTGGAAATTCACGAAGTCAACCACGTAATCATTAGTTAAGCTTAAGCCTGTAACAAAAACCATGAAAATCTTAAGAGTGAGTTTGTTTATAAAATAACTCAATTTATACTCAAAATTTAATTCAATTTTAATTCAATTCTACTCGCATCAATATTTAATACTATCAATATGATTAAATAATAATAATATTTCATTCTTACACATCTCATCAATTTTAATTTACTATTCATTTACTCATTAATCATCACTTCACATCATCTCTCTCTTATTTTTACATCAAATCAGCGTTATATATTTTATTTAAAGTATTATTTTAATATATTTCAAAATCTCACTAACAACTAACCATAACACAATTTTCAAAATAGCACTGCTTAATTAAAAAAACTTGTTTTGAGCAGATATATTTGTATCGAAGCACGCTCTTATAGTTCTAACACATGTATGTTGCATATATATAACTGTAATGAGCTAGAAGCTAATAACAACTTGGTAATAACAACTTAACAATAATATATATATATAAAATAAGCAAGATTATCTGCATATGAGAAATGTGATAAAACCATAGAAATTAAATAAAATGGAAACTAGCTAACTAACCAATCCAAACACACCTATGTAATCTTTACTAATAACACAACAATTGTTTTCAATCATAATATGTAAGACAACATTTTTTTTTTTTTGGTACAATAAGACAACATTAATTAGAGTCATGCTTAATTAGTTAGGATGACCTATACCGGGACTCGGACCAGGATTCGTGGGTCGAAAAGCGGATCCTTCATCAAGTTTTGAGTGACCAATACCCGGACTTGGGCCGGGGTTCGTGGGCCGGAAAGTATTTGGATATTCTTCATCGAGTCTAATTCTGTGCCCTCGTAACTCATCTGGGCTCGGAAAACTTTTCAAATGCTTAACTTGGCCACTGTTTGAATATCGGGCTACCTTCAAATTTCGGGCCTCGATATGAAAGACATTGATTGATAGGATAACGAGGGCGAAGAACAAACAAGCTAGAGATTTGGCCATGCTTCGGAAAGACTAATTTATAGACTATTCTTGTTAAGAAGTGTAAAAAAATTGGAGGAGAGGAAAAATGAACTAATAAAGCAAGAGAGGTAAATGTTTGTGAGTTGTGTAGCTCTTTGTTGTGTTTATGGTCTATTTATAGAACTCAAAAATTGAAAAAATAAAATAAAAAAATGCATGTGAAGTTCCCAATTTCAAGGAAGATTCCTTTGTGTTTGAGGTCAAATAATTTCGAGCGTGGCAAAAAAGATCCTATTTATGTAAAAAATTGCTTTCCGTATATACTGATAGTTGCACAGTACGTTGTGGTTATGATTTGTTAATATATCACAAAATAGAGTGGTGTTATAGTTCAAATCATGTTCATGTGGTGTGATATTTCGTTTTCCAATTTTGTATTTCATTTTTTTTTTTCATTGGATGCATGTTAAGTACTTATGATGACGTCATATTTGCATTACACGGCCTAATCTAATTACACCATTAATGATTCTCAACTCTCAAGCGTACAATATTAATATTCATTTACTAAAAGTTCTGATTATAGTTCGAAGGCAGAATTGTACACCATGGCATTAAGATAACAATTTCACCCAAATAGTCCATAACTAATCAAATTACGAGTTATTATGCTCAAATATTTGAGTTTTGTTGGCATCTTAGCAATTTTTTTTTTTAATAAGTTAGTGGGTGGTTTTTATATATTTTTAATATATTGTGCTCTATTTTTATTATTTAGTTGATATTTTTTGCATTTGTAAAGGTTACTAAACCAATTTAATGTCTACTTAAAAGTACTGGATATATATATTATAAATTAAGGAAATGGGAGGATTATATATTCCACAAGTACAATTAGGAGAACGCATTTCACAGTATAAAAAAACATAATTATAAAAAGTTAAGTATTACCACTTTTTAATTAATTCCCTAAATGTAAAAATACAACTATTCATGTACCAAGTACTAGATAACTACCTATTTATACAAAACTTTCCCTAATATTTCGCCTATGGTCAATTAGATAACAACATGAAAAATTATGACATGAACATATGCATCAAATTAAATATTACATCGAGTAATATCCGTGTGCATCAGTTGTAAATCACATCTAATCATAAAGTTACGGAATAATTAATTATCAGATTAAAAAAAAAATACTATTGTTACATATTGCTTATGTGCTAAAAAATTTGTGTCCTTTATAGAAATAAATTATCAATACAATATTCTTTATTAAGCAAAACACAATATATTGCATTTATATGCAACTATGATGGAAAAGGTGAAATATTCTCTGGCATATTTCTCCCATTTAAGAAATATGCTAATAAAATTATTTATAATTAATTAATGAACGGCCGTCATTTAATTGACTTCATAGAATAACATAGTATAACTAAATAACTAATACTTTATGGTAAAAAGCTGCATCTCTACAACTACAAAAATGACCAAATGGCAGGCAAGTTGGGACGAGTTTTAAAGTTTGTTGTTTAAAATTTAAAACGAACATGATTTAGTGAATCCAACAGCCGCCAATTAGGCCCGTTGGATCTTATTAGCTTTTCTCCACTAGTTGTACCTTTTTACCCAACCAGTTAAAACTGACGCGTTAAATACATTTTACTTTATACTAGTAATCAACTTGTGCATTTGCACATAGAAGAATACTTTAAAAAGATAACAATATAAATAAAAAATATAAATTATAATTTAATTCATGAAAAAAAATATGAATTAAGAAAATAATTCTCAAAATTGATTTTGATCAAGTAATTGCTATGGAAGAGCCGTTACAATCATTTTATTTATGCTAATACACCCAGCTATTTTCATGAGTGGGCGTGACTTAAAATTTGAGTACAATTTTGTAACTCCCTTGATTGGTTTATGCTCATAATTTATGGCATTCAAGCAAGTTAGTTTGTAACTTAAAAATGAAATTGAATGTTGAAAATTTTGGAGGGAGAATAAAATTTAATGCATGATAATATAATTTAATGCTTTGTTGCTCCTCTTTATATATATATATATATAGAGATTTTTCATATTTTCATGTAGATCTAACACTTAGACAATCATAATTTTTATTTTACAAATATGTATATATGTTAAACTAAAATATCATCTTTTAAAAAACAATATAAATAAAAATATGTGTTTTTTAGTATAATTATTTATTTTGTAGNCCCCCACCTATTAGTATCTCTATTAAGTACTAATATATCCCAAACAAACAAAAGAATCTACCTTTTAACTTGAATCTAATCACGAGTAACAATTGGCAGCTACAAAAAAGCATATTCTCACTAAGACAGATCGAATGCCCTTGCAAGATTCTTCAAGATTTCCCACTTTGCGGCTATTAATAAACGTTATAACATCGACCGTCAAATTGACAAAGCCATGTAACAACGTTGATGTTTCCTATGAAACTCTTCCATTTGCAATATTATCTTATTATAATTCTTTCGGTTAATAAAAAAATCAATCAAATTAAAGTATAGTTTACCACACAATCATTGCATGTGGAATCCTTGTTTACAGCATAAATAACATGGCACCCATTGTCCTTGGGGGGACTTTGCTTGAGTTCTTATTTCTAACTTGACTTGAACTTTTATGACTCTCAATTATAATATTAGATTAATTATTATTAGTTTTAATACATAAAACGATATGTTAGGAAAAAAATTCTTTCTTTGTAAGTCGTAATGATGTGAATTGAGAAATTAAGACGTGTGAAAGATTACAACTGACGTAAAAAGAGAGAAGCAGTATAAGGCCATCTCCAGTGCAGCTCTACGCTGGCGTGAAAATGCACTTTTTGTGCTCCAGTCCTACGCTACAATCCAACGCAACAGTGTTGCGCCAGTTGTAGCGCAACACTGTTCATCTGCGCCAATTTTTTTTTTTTTTTAATGTAATATTAATGATAAATTTTTGTATAATGTGTATTAATAAATGTATTTTTATGTTAAGTAACTTTGTACAATGTATTTTTTATGCTAAATAATTTTGTATTTTTTATTTATTTGGGTAATAAACATTTTATATAATATTAAATATAAATATATACCAATTTGCAGCTGCAACTTTCTCTTAATTTGGTCAAAATAAGCTTCATTTCAAGTCGCAATTTCGGCTGCCCCGTCGGCCCTCGTTTAGCGGATTGAGTATTAGCGAGAGTGCTTTCTAGAAAGCATGAGAAGAGGAGAAGTCGTTCGTGGTATTTATTTCGTATTTCGAGGCCCGATCATTTATTTTGAGAAGTTACAATTTGAAGGTGCATATTAGTAAAATAAATAAAAATCCGTTCACGTCGGCCCCGCAAGGTCGCGTGAGATTTCGGTTTGCTGAGAAACGAGTTGGGGCGAGTAGATCTTATTGGCACGATGCCACTCGAGCCATTTATCGAGTATTCGAAGTTTCGAGCATTTATTTAGAGGAACCCGAACTAAAAACTGAAAAATAATATTAAATATACATATATACCAATTTATTTGAAATAAAAAATAAATAAAAAATAATATATTTAATGTAGAGTAAAATGTAGAGATAAAGGCTGGAGATGAATGCTCAACTCTACTCTAGAGTAGAGTAAAGTCCGCGCTAGAGTAGAGATAAGGGCTGGAGATGGTCTAAGAACAAAATCTAACTTCTCCATGCCACATAAAATTTTTCTAGGGGAAATTGTAAGATATGCCTAGCAAGTAGGGCAGATGGCAAATTTTCCACGTAGCTTTTGCAATTTTTTTTTTTAAATAAAATCAACAGACTAATAAAAATCAAACAGAACATGCCCAAAAATATTAAAATTATCCACTAATTAATTGTATAAAATAATAAAATATACCTAATAACTTACGCAAAAGTGTCATCTGCTCTAAGTTACATATTTTTGCAATTTACCCAAAAATTTTTGTCATCAGATAAAAATAACATCAAATACGTTTTTCACATGTAAAATAACTATAGAAAAATCCCTGAAGGTCCTTCACCAGAATTTTTGTTCATGCGAATTTTTTTTTTCTCTCTCACAAAAGATGAGCCTGCCTAGACAAAAATCCCTGAAGTCCGTCACCTTCAGCTAACTTTATATTTAATATACATATAATTTTATAATTTTTAACTTTAGCATGTGACGTGACGAAGCGAAGAGCATGACGAGCTCCCGAATCCCTGGGACTGTTTTGTTCACTTTCGACGAGACTCTGAGTGACCAACCGACTTGTGGTTGGCCTCGTAGTTCTCTATATTGCGAATGAAGAACCGACATGTGGTTGTCCATTACGCTTTTGTATGCCGTTTATCGGCTGACTGACTTCAGTTTTGATATATATATATTTATATTTAACGATAAAAAAAAAAAACTTTAGCATGTGACATGACCATAAGTGATGATAGAAAATTACTGCTAACCAATAAATTAAAATATAAACACGATTTATGTTGTGTTGGTGATGAATTCTTTTTCCACAAAACGATAGACATATTAATAGATAAAAGTTGCATGCTGTAAAACAACTATACATAGACAGCCTAAATCCAGTGCCTAAATATGCTTAATAAAACACAAGCAAAAACTAAAACAAAATCATATAGTGATTCATGTATGATAAATGGAAACTAAAGGCTCTCACACTTGTAGACATTGAAATTTTAATATTTTCTTAATTAATGTCTTTATTTATTTTTAGATATAAATTCAAAATAAATAAGATATGCAATTACTAAAAAACTGTTTCTTGCCCACCATGTCAAATATTATAATAAGGAAAGAGATTAAATCAAATAAGGAACAACCAACCAAATTGATGTATTTTTTTTCTAAGACTCTCTCCTATACCTATAAACAGTGGTTCTCCCAAAGTTAAAAATGACAGCTTATAAATCAAAGTCTCAAGTTCAAGAGCTCTCAATAATTCTTTTGAAGATTCAAAACTATTCTTGAAGATCTACAACATTCAAGTTGAAAATTAACGTTCAATGTCCAAGTCCGTCTAAGGATAATAAAAAAAATCTATGTTCAAGTCCAAGTTTTCCTCTAAGGATCAAACTAAGCGACGTTCAAGTCCAAGTCCCCTCTAAGGATCAAATTAAGAAAAAATCGACATTCAAGTCCAAGTTTCCCTCTAAGGATCAAATTAAGCAACGTTCAAGTCCAAGTTTCTCTTCAAGAAGGATCAAAGAAGAAAGACCGTCAAGAAGTCGTCTTCAATCAAATCAAGTCATAATATTTAAAACACAAATAAGCCATTCGACCCCCAAATTCATGTTAGAAAAATACAAGTTCAAGTCCAAAGAAGATCTTGTCAAATCCATTTGAACATCAAATCAAAGTCCACAAATTTGACACGCCCAGTGGGACATCGAAACAAAAATTATTTGTTACAAATTGGCACGCCCAATGAGACTTGTCCTTGAATACGAGATTTGCTTTAGAAATTGGAAACGCCCGCTAGGACACGAATTAAAAAATCATTATTAATGTTACAAATTTGGCACGTCCAGTAGAATATCGATATAAAAATTCGTTGTTACAACACTAACTCACATTTGCTCGTATGGTCACAAGATGCAGAACATTTTAACGTATATATCGCTACCCAGTAACTCTACCGCAGTCATTGATAGAGTCATACTCGCTTGGTCTTGTAAGGATGACATCATGCTCTTTTCATGTTTTGGACAATTTGTATAAAATAAGGGGAAAAATTACTACAGTCGTTACGGAACCATTCCATCGAAATTTTAACAGTAAGATTAATATCTATCAACACTACACTAATCTATAGTTAAAAACTTGATGAAATGATTACGTTACGGGAATGTAATTATCCCTATAAAATAATATTTTTCTTACCTGGACCAAAATTTTGTCCGTAACAATAGACTATAAGAGCCTACAAAGTGGGCTAAAGAATCTTTTCTATTGTATATTAGTTTAGTCACTACAATCGCTTTTGTAAAGGTAGGATCTTAGGGATGTGATAGGATTGTACTTTTATTCATAAAACTAAGCCACTTTTGTTTGATAACTGCCCATTTTATAAGAATATATGACAAGGAGTATATATATATTTATTTTGAAGTTTTCNAAATCTGGAATTGTTTTTTCTTTTTTCCCCACAATGTACTCTGTTACTAGTTCAGCATGTTAACTTTACCCTCAAACCATACATATGCATTATAAGGTTTACAATAGTTGTTCTAATTACTTCTAATTATACTCTGTTTTATCTTCACATCCTTGACGTTATAATTTATTGAAGCAGTATGAATTCTGAAGTTGAAACTTTGGATCTTGATGAGGAAATTCCATTTGTCCTGCATTATTAATTACACAAAATTCGCATTGAGGATGTTTGACTGAAATGAAAACAGCTATTTAATTTTTTTTTTTAAAAAAGAAAAAAAATACAATCACCTAGTAGTCTATCACTAACGTTTGACTGATTGTCAAATTTAATGTTCCACCACATAAAAGTCTAATGTGGTCCACGATAATTTATGCAATTTTTTTTTTTCTTTTTCTAAATGTGTTGTTGAAATTACTCAGGTAGATGAAGAATCTGAAGGTGGATATACATTAATCTGAAGTTTATTAAGATTGTCACGCACACACACACACACACAAACACAAAAGGAAACATATGTATTCATTTCATATTAAAGAGAAATGGGGCCACACATAAAAACAATACATGGATATAGTTACATATTCAAATCTAATAACCTTGTGCAAGTGACACAATTCTTATGTGTCATAAACATAAAAACATATTTAATTATGATGAAAACCTAAATCGAAATTAATACATAATTAAGAATTCACAATAATAACATGCATACGTACGATTACGAATGGTCGTGCCTTTTTTTCCCCTGCTTTCGAGTTTTCGAAATAATCAACCGAGACGCCAGCTGGCAGTGGTCGTCTATTTCCCGGTTTTTGGAGCCAAACTACCTAGCCACAATTTACGTTTTTGTCCTTCCATAGAGTGGCCTATCCCGGGACTAGGCCCGCGGTTAGTCGATGGATGACCGTCTATTTCCCCTGTTGTGGAGGGAAAATGTCCGTTTTGCCCTTGGGGCTGCATTTTGCCTTTTTGCCCTTCCTGTGGGTGGCCTATTCCAGGACTGGGTCCCTGGTTGGTGAACGGGTTATCTTCTACTTTCCCGAAATGACGATTTTGACCCTGCGACTGTATTTTTTCACGTTTTTGCGCGGAAAGTGTGTGGCCGATCCCAGGGCTGGGTCCTTGCTCCGTGGATAGATGTACACCTGTTGCTTTCCCATTGGAGGATGGTAAATGACGGTTTTGCCCCTCGTCCCACGAGTCGTGTGCCATTGGACTGCTTGGCGGATGGACGTTTACTAGGATTCGGTTGGAGTTGGTAGCTCGTCTTATTGCATGGCTTTGCATTGACGATTTTAGTTGCCTGCCTCGAACAAACTGACTTTCGAGGCAAGCTGCAAGGACGAAAAGGTAAATAATCACGAGGTTTTTAAGAATGCAGGCCATCGGGCGCAGACAAAAAACAAACGTTTTCTTTTTTATTTTTATTTTTATTTTTTTTCTTAAGTAGATTTTCTTTAAAGAGATGATGATGATTTATGTTGTTGTTGTTGTTTTGTTTTGAATCAGTTCGTTGTGGTATTTATAGATAGTATCTAATAAGTGTGAGTTCATGTAAGGATTCCTAATATCACTAAATTTGGTTAGTAATGAAAGTCTATATCAATGCTCTTTATTAATTTGCTGCTGTGGATGGTCTGTATTGCTTTACATTTTTTTTTTTTTCCTTCCCTTTGTATTCTAAATTTTTTTAATTAATTAATTGATTAATTCGTAGTGATCGTCCTTCTCGCAATAGTATAACACATGTGCGGGCTCATTTTTGTCTAATTAAATATTATTTCGCTTATGTTCTTATTTTGCCAGTTGGTCCCTTCAACTTTTAATTCTTTCACCAATTGTAGATGTATGTAGTCAAGTTGTTCGTCCAGAAACGCAGCTTTTGTTTGCAACTGGTAATATACATTCTTCTATTGTTTAATGTTTTCTGTACGCTGGGAAATGGTGATTGGGGTTTCTTTTGGGGGAAAAAGTTAATAAAAAAATTTGCGTCCCCAAGTCCATTTGATACAAATTTAATACTTACAATTTAATTGTAATTTCCGTCCAATATTTTGGCAATTTCTAGAAGATCTACTTCTTTATGTGCAAATTGTTTTAGATTTTGTGTACTGTCCACTTTGACATGTCTGCTTCTTTATGTGTATGGCTCACATGCAACCTCTTAATCTCTTTCGATCGACAAAATGCAGGTGAATTTACGCGTCTCTTTTTGAGTTTTAAATAAACTTCATTGAAGTAACGTCTGCCTGTTGAACGTGTAAAGAGTTCGAATACACATTTGCATATTATATATATGGTGATGATAACTGATGAGTGTTTGTAGTATTTTTGGGTAAGTGGTAACCGAGCTACCCGGACTCGGGTCGTTCTCAAAGGAAGGCTATTCGGACACGGATTCAAGCAACGATTGACTCACACAAAAGAAAAATAAAAAGTCCTAAACATTCTACTCGCATGATTTGGTGGTTTGATTAAGCTAGAGAAAGCAAGATGCGTAATTTAAATCAAGCAACACCTCAAATTGCAAGAAAAAGAGAAAATAGAGAGAAAAATAACAAGGTACCCTAGACCCGAGATGGAAAGAAGGCACTCATAGATTTGGGAACATGTAATCAAACAATCGTCACTCGCGATCAACCAATCGATCTCTCAATCAATTCTCGCTTATGCAAATAAGCTAACGCAATCAATAACACAATCACATAATCCCTAGCCTACGAGGATGATAGCATAATCGACTCATGAAAGCTCATACCTTTACCCTAGAATGAATTCAACAAGTAAAGATAAGACAAGACTCACGAGATCTTGGATCTTCAACTAAGTCTCCAATCGGACCTTAAACGAAGTCTCCAAGTCCCTAGTGCATCCACGAGAAGAAATAAGCCAAAAAGTTGCAATCTTGATGGAGAAATATTACAATAAAAATAGGGTCTTCGAGCCCTTAGAGAGAGAAAGAAAACTAGAGAGAAGGAGGAGAGAAAAACTAAAAGGAAAATTTTAGCAAATGAGGAATTGTTTTTAAATTACAAAGCAACAAATCTATTTATAGCTACACCTCAAACACACACTAAAACACATACATTAAATGATAAAACTCGCGAGCTAAGGCTCACTCACGAGTTTTGGCTTGGATTTCGCGAGCAAATTTCGCTGGCATCAGTAGACCTCGCGAGCAAAAGGGATTTCGAGGGCGCGAAAATTGGAACTCGCGGGCAAGGCATCATGTGAAGCGGACTCGCGGGCAATAGCGGTTTCGAGGGCGCGAAAACTGAAACTCGCGGGTGAACATCATGTAGATGGAACTCGCGACTGAAGGAGCTTTCGAGGGCGCGAAATCTAAAACTCGCGGGCAAGATGCTGGGACACACGCGAGCGTGGCGCGGGTGTGGGCGTGCTACACGCGGGTAAGGCTCGGTCATGATCCCTTGATGCTCGATTTGCTCTAACTTTTCGCACGGTGCTTCGATTGACTCGAAACTTTGACTCACGCTCCTCAAATCTTTTTCTCCTCGTCTTGGAATGCTCAAATCGATATTGCCGCGCAATTAATATATGTGCTCGGAAATGGTTCGCGTGGTTCGGACATGGTTCGGACGGCTCGAAAATGTCTCGAAAATGGCTCCTCTTCCCAAACTCGAACATTGTTGACCTAAACAACACCAAAAAGACAAGAAAAATACGCCGAACCACAAAAACACTATACGAGAATAAAAAATGCACGAAACACGATAAAATGGACCGGTTGACATTAAAACGGACCTAAAAATACTAAACTCAAACACATAAAACACACGAAAATAAGCACAAAAACACAATATACAATGAGTAACATATTTAGAAATTAGAACACTGAGATTAATTGGTTGTAGTAACATATTTGACCTTGTGTTTTAAGGTCAAGCATAGATGAAGATAATTGTCATGATTAAAGAGAAGTGAGTTTATTATATTCGTCTGAAAATTGTGCTTGTTTTTCTTGTTAGGTAGAGATATTGCTGAGGCTTGATAAGTATTGGATTTATATTGCCTAACAAAAGTTAAAATGGAAGCAAATATGGATATATGTCGTATACCTACTGATTGTGCTAATTCTTGAATTAAATTTAAAATTACCGCGGTTTGCAAAACGCAAAAGTTAGTGCTTGTTTTCCAAACTAGTACAGTCCCCGTGCGATGCACGGAGGTTTATTATCTCCATCCCTTTTATAAAATAATGTTCAGTTAAAATTCAAACTACTTAGTAAAAGAAAGATCATGCCATTAATAATAAATAAATTAATAAATACAATGATAATAAAATCTATATTTTATTAAACACTTCCTTATATACAACGTTCATGGTTTGATTCTTTGGCACGTCATCATCGCCACAAATTAGGACTTTCAAACCCATTTCTGTTTGTGACACGGGAGACAGCAACATACAATTGGTCATGATTAAACACTGGTTTTTTATGAAATAAGCGCACATGTGATAATGATTGTTTCTGGCTTTTATTTATAGTCATGTTGTAAGAAAACATAATGAGAAACAATCAATCCAATAACATCTACAAAAATATAAGAAAATACATCATATTGAAATGTATAACATATAAAATAGTTTATTATAGATTTTAAATTAAAAAAAATCGAAATAAGAAATAAACAAAAAAATTATAACGTACCAAACAACATGACTTCATCAATGCTACGAACATCCATTAAAGTTAGAAATAGAAAAATCATCCATCCATTTGATAATCTTAGTTTGGCCATTGATAATGATCCTCATTCTTTCTATCGTCGATTTATGGATGCAAATATTGCTTTCCACTTGATAGTTTGTCAAGATATAAGCGCCACCTTCTTCAATATCACCGATGATTTTTTGGATATTGACAGGTCGAATTATGCCAGTAATTCATCCTCCCTAAACATCGCATAATGAATACTTCAATAAATAAATTATAAAAGATGTTGCATAAAATGATGCATTGAAATAATACTAAATGAATATATTACCTCAAAATCATGAAAGATAATCTCAAGAACATTTCGGTAATTGCGTACGTCTTCAACTCGTTTGATATCCTTGATTACTCCAAAATCTGAAGTCATTTTCAATGCTGATGTAAAGCTTGTAGAAAAAATTGTTTTGGGGGATATATTAGAATTCGAATACTTTTTGTTCAACGTTGGTGATGTTTATATAGTCATGTGTATGTGCCATATGTCTGGGAAATAAAAATATATTTACGTAAGTTATTTAATATGATCCGATCCGATTTTTTTATTATGATTATGATTGACTTCTAAAAATATGTGTTATCGGTTTTGTTAAAAAAAAAAAAAAAGTGGAATGTGATTCACTTGTGAGGGACGAACGAATATTTAGAAGATTATGTAGCAAAAAATAATGGAGTTTGTTACAGTGAAATTTGGTAAGACTTTTTGGATAGATTGAAAAATAATATTTTTATTCTGGATCTATGGACAGCATCATTGTGGTAAAGGTCGTGATCTATTTATCTGGAAAAATCCAAAAATTTAATTTACGAAATTATAATCTTTAATTTTTTGAAGCATGTAAAATTTTCTAAGATAACTTCTATAAAACAAAATGTGATCAAATCATAATTGATTTTTATGTCTCAATATTCCAAATCAAGCCTTACAAATATGGTATGATTATTTACTATTAATATTTTGTTTTTTCAAACGTCTGATTCTCTTAGGTTTATATGAAACAAAGTTCAATCAAATCAAAATTGATTTTTATGCCCACACTAAAACTTTATTATTTATTTATTTTTTTTCAAATCCACGACTCAAATTTTCGAGAGAGAGAAAAAAAAAAAGGAAACAAAATCTTATCAAACCTTATCAAATTTTCGAGAGAGGAAAAAAAAACAAAAAAAAATTGGAAACAAAATCTTATCAAACCTTATCATAATGAAGATTCGTGGTTCCATGAAAAGCTAACAAAATTTCGTGGTTACCAAAATCCTATCAAATTAGTTAAGAAAATCCCATTAAATTGGTTAACAATATTGGAACGCATTTTGTTAGAAAAGATTTACGTAATTTATCTATCTAATGAATATCATATTAACGTGTGGGCCCAGTGATATTAATTTAGTATAGCATCCATTATCTCAGAATAATTTTTTGTTTGATTTACAATATTAATTTGAATGGAAAAAAATCCGTAATTGTTGAGATATATCTCAATTCAAAATCTCAATTTTTTGACATAAAAATCTTCAAATTTGTTGCCAATAAAAATAGATTCCTATGGGATTAATATTTAAAATGAGTTAATTTTTGGTATAAGAATCTCCAAATTTGTTACCATAAGAATTTTCAATTTGTTATCATAAGGAACCCATAAAAATCTCCTATGGATTGGAGTCTATCAATATTTAGTATAACATCCATTATTCTCGGAACAATTTTTTGTTTGATTTCCAACATGAATTTGAAGGGGGAAAAATCCGAAATTGTTAGGATATCTCAATTCAAAATCCCAATTTTTTGGCATAAGAATCTCCAATTTGTCACCATAAGAATCCCATAGAAATCTCCTATGGGATTGGAGTTTATCAATAGTTTGTATAACATCCATTATTTTTGGAATAATTTTTTGTTTGATTTACAACATTAATTTGAATGGGAAAATGATCCGTGATTGTTGGAATATCTCAATTCAAAATCTCAATTTTTTGGCATAACAATCTTTAAATTTGTTACCATAAAAATAGATTCCTATGGATTAATATTTAAAATGAATTAAATTTTGGTATTCAAATTTGTTACCATAAAAATCTCCAATTTTTTTGGGATATCTCAATTAAATTTGTTACCATAAAAATCTCCAAATTTGTTACCATAAAAATCTCAATTTTTTTGGTACATGTGTTTATTTCGAAATTTCCATTAATAGTAAGTCAAACTATTTATTTTTTTAGTCAAACTTACTATAAAAGTATTTTTCCAGCAACCTCTTTATATTACTATAGATTTGTTATGGGTAATCTATATATATATAATTGCTAGCCTTTTATTTAATTTTACCTCATAAATAAAACTTAATAAATTTTACATAATAAATAATACAAACTTTTCAAATACAAAAACCGTTACTTTTACAAAATACATCAATTTTGGACAGTTACAAAATCTAAACTAATGACCACTATTTTATCTAAGTATATCAATTTAGGTTAATTAGCTAAAAATGTTTACTTTTTTAATTTTTTATATAATCATTACTATGCTAACTTAATTACGAATTATTTATTATAGAAATTCATGATTACATAAGCATGTATTCAGAATATAAATTTTTTAAAGAACTTTTTATAAATGTTTATTTGGAATATCTATTGTTTTTGATGATATCACTACAATAATTAATCATGGTGAAACTGGAAAATGCAGCACGTGTACAACATGGACAAATACACTAACAACAATACAAAATAATTCACCAGCTTTGGAAATTGTATCATATAATAGTTATTATTACAATTAATAATTATATTTTACACTAAATGATATGTGAAAGTTACATAAACATAAGAAACTATATTGTAAAAACTTTTTGTTCGAGTAATTTATTATAAAATCAATATAATATTTCTTTATCTGCTTAAGCGATTACTTTTTAAATAAATTAACTTTTTTTAATGGCATAGTAAAATTCCTTAAAATCTCATAAGCAATTGTATAATAAATTTAATATTTTTTATCTAATTAATTAGTCATAGTCCCTTAAAATTTCAAAAAATACATTATTTATTTTATTTTATGCAATCAATATAGTGATTCATATACAATCAAATCTTTGTGTACTATTTATTTTAACCAATGATCAAATTTTAAGATATAATACCTTTATTTAACTTACAATTTTAATATTATGCATAAATATAACTTATAATACCATATGTTTAAAACATAATATCATTATCTAACTTATAATTTTAATATTATATGCATATAAATAACTTATAATACTTTATTTACATCTGTGCACATACACATGATCGAATACTAGTTACAAATAACTTAAACAATTTATGCTTAAATTCTAAGAAAAGGAGAGAGAAGTTTTTATTTGAATTTTAAATATTTTTAACAAATATTGTATTATTAATTTAAAATGATATTAATCACTTTCACAATTTACCTGACTCGTATTTTAATTTATTTAATTCATATATGATAACTTTTTTAAAGTTGATATATATTTTTATTAATTTGAAATTAGTATTACTGATAATTTAATTTTTATAATAAAAACAATTGTTATTTTAGATAATGATAGAATTCTAGATCTACATGGATTACTTCCAAGCATAAAATTCACGGAGGACTACGGAGCACAATAAGATGGCACATAAGCTCGTGAAATTATGCATTTATATACACTACAAGAAAATGATGAAACTACAACAGAAATATATTTCAAAAAAATTTCAACGGCAATTCCAATGGAGGTTTCAATGTTATTATTTCCATTAGAATTATTCCAACGGAAATTTTAACAAAAATATTTCGTTGGAATGAGTTTTATTAGAATTTCCGTTAGATTTTGACGATTCCAACGATAGATTTTGCAATGGTGGTGGAAATAAAAATTCCAACGAAAATTCCTACGGTGAAAAACTATTGGAAATTAATATAGCCGTTGGAATCAGAAAATTTTGTCTAAAATTTCAATGAAAAATACATTCCAACGGAATATTTTCGTTGGAATGATTCCAACGGAAGCTATACCATTGGAATATACGTAGGAATTTCTATTGAAATATATATCCATAGGATTCCATTGGAATATAACAATTTTTTTGTAGTGATATTGGGAAGATTTTATTATTATTATTATTATTATTATTATGAGCACAAGAAGATGACACATAAGCTGGTGAAATTCTGCATTTATATATTGGGAGGATTTATTATTATTATTATTATTATTATTATTATTATTATTATTATTATTATTATTATTATTATTATTATTATTGTTTTTGTTGTTTGTTAT